CTATAAGTGCACACCCTCCCTAAGTGCACGCAAATGTCAGGTCCCGAGAGCGTGCACTTATGGAGGTGCGACTGTATTCGTTGGTTGACGTTGCATTCTTCTCTATAAGTCAGTCTCACGTGATTTGATTGTACATATGATTCAATGTAAGCAAAATAGTTTATTATGATAATTATATCGTTTGTTAACTATTGCGAATGGATACTTGTTAGCCGCTATTTAACGACTTGGTCGTTCTTAACGTTGCCCGAATCACGCCACGCAGAGGCCAAGTATCGTGTGATTCATGACTCTATACCATTCCACCCACCCTATTAGGGAGCCTTCATCTTCAAGGCACGTTAGTGACTTACGGAACTCAATCCCTTAGGTGGAACTTTTAATCCACGGAATACAGTCAAGCAACAACGACAGGGGGGTTAGTATCAATACGCCATATTCAGAGCTCATTTCTTCGGAACTTAATCCTCGAAACCCTCACCACGGAATACAGTTGTCATCACAAACTCGAACCATATCTCAGTATGTACATGTCCAAACTCTTGATCTACGGAAGTTAATCCCTTGGGTGGCTACCAAGTCACTCGCCACGGAACACAGCCAGTGCACGACGCGTGAACCCTTTCCCAAATATGGGGTGACTAAGACTCATGGATCTACGAAACTTAATCCCTTGGGTGGCTCAGAACTGTTCATCACGAATACAGTTATCATCAAAAGAAGAAAAAAAAGTGCGAAGTAAAACGGATATACTAGGAAAACGGAAACTGTTAAAAAGTCCGTCGCTTATCTATAACAATAATTAATCAATAATTCAGACACATTTTTATGGTCGTACAGCAGCATATTCTGTCAAAACACGAATGGACTAATTTGGGCTAGTGTATAAGGTGTCGGAAAAAAGCGTCTGATTATTGACTATAACTTGTTCGCGCTGTTAAAAACCAAAAAGGGGGTGTATGGAAAGAAAGTATTACAGGGGTCAGGTATCAGACCGCATACAGCAGAAAGTCCTTTGCTACGCTCGAGTGAGATGATCAACATCGTACGGGACGCGTAATGGTATTGACAGATAATTGCGTGCTGTTGACTTTATCATACACAATAATAATAAGTGTTCGTTGTCCTTACTCATACTCTGTCATTGATAAAATCAGGTCGCGTATATGGATTTGTCGTTGACATTTGAGCTGAATGCTTCAGTTGATAATGGAAGCGAGACATAATTTTATCAATTCTTTGTTGCTAATGACAATGCCATTCTCAATGTGCATGTTAAATTTCAACCAGTAAAACCTGAAACATCAGAAGGTACTTGTCATCCTGTTGATAACTGATAGTGCCTTTGTAGTCTACATTCATGTATATTGGGAGGCTAATATAGCGTGTGTATTTTTTACAGTCACTACGTCTATACATCTCGATTGTCAATAGATGGTGTAATCATTGATGTTGTTTTGCGCAGTGTAAGTGAGAGGTATTATGAATTTGATCGTGAGGCGTGTCAACAATTTATGGCAACGTGCGTCATCAGTTACTATTTCAACTTTAATATCATACCCCGTTGATTTCACTATCAACATAATTATATTCTATTTTTATATCAACATCAGTATAAATTGTATTCTAAACGTCAAATCAAATATAACACTTCTCTGCATAATAGTCATGGGAAATGTCCCTAGTACAGGGGTTAGAATTTTGTTGATAGTAGTTATTGGCAAGACTACTTCATTCCAACATTCTCTATTTTACGAGTTTTTTTTTTTTTTTTACTGACCTAATACTTCAGTAGTCTTCGCAAAACTAGCTTTTAACAAACATCAGCAATGAGGTCTAAGAGGATGCTAAAATCGGGCTTGTTTCCATAGTGTGGCGCGCCTGTTACAATCTTCCTCTGGAGACTTGCAAAGCTCACCTTTTCAGCCCTGTAAACAATTAATCTACAGTTACTTCATTGCTTTATATTAATATCAATAATATAACCATTGCTTTAAATTTCTTACATAGCACTGTCTCCGAACACCAACTCGTTTATTATTATATGCAAATAGGGGATTGCGCACATTCCCAATAACCATATTTACGCTCAGTAGTTCAACATTTTTCGCCTATGGATTTAAACAAAATAAACAGATCACAATAGTCAGAAGTATTTTCGGTAATAGTAATAAGAATAATGATATTAATAATATTACTAAAATGATAAAGCTCAGAGTCAGCATGTTTAGAAATAATAATAGTACTTACAGACACTCAGTCAGATCAAAGGCTACCAATGCCTCTTCACTATCATTGCCTAATGCAATGGCATCATGGTAACTTGACTCGGAGTTTGCGATATGCTCTGTAGTCTTGTTAGAAGTAGTTCCACAACCGTTGAAACTACTATGCAACGTTCTAACTGGCAGGTGAAACGTCGTCTACCCAAAATTGAGGCAGATTTCTTACCAACACCACAACACATTCACAATCCTTATCTGCCAAGTCAATGATGCCTGATTCAGCAGGCAACATAGGGCTGATATTTGATGCTAATGACGAGAAAACAACTGCGATTGCTTTTAATGCTTGCTTGTCTTCTTCCGTCGGTGCATGTTTTACGGAGCGATTCTATAATATTGATATAGTAATAATTGTGACCGAAATCGGATTAAAATGAAATTTTCTCTATTTTAATACAAAAATTTAAAATTTTTGGGGATAGAATTTAGGGTAACTTTTGTTAATAGAAGAGTATATGTGCATTAACTGAGAATCCTAGAAGACCCCAAATTAAAATTTCGTTTTAATCCGATTTCGTTTTAATCTGCCACATAATTAGTAGGCGAATATTACTATTTTGCAATAAATCAATTCTTTGTTGTCAAACCATTTACAGCGCGCTCTACAATACGTCGGAAGTTTTCTGCAGTGATTGGATATTCATCCTCTTCCTGTTGTCGCCGACTTTGCTTTTTGATATATGTTCCTCAACTTGCTCTTAATATTAAAAAATAGAATAAGAAATATCGATTAGATACGATAAACCACGTAAATAAATAATATTCTTCATAACATTTGCATTCAGTCAATATTTCATCTCATTTTTCGAATATTATATTAATCTTCAAGTTTAACCCCGGTCTGACTGGCTAATATAATACTAAGCCAGTTCAACGCGGAACTTTGAACTTGGGCACCTAGAACCAACGCCCAAATACGGCCAAGTGCACTAATCCGTATAGAGCTGACAAGCATTCCCACAGAATGACCCTTCGGTTCCAGGGCAGACATAGGCCTATGCCACAATTACCACTGTTGACAACACCACACTAATATTCATCAATTGGTTAAAAATTGGTTGTAATTAATAAATCATCTACTTACCTTGGACATATTGCTTGTCCAATGAAGCCTGCACAACTTTGTGGCTGACTTCTTCAACTGGTTGACCGGCAAGTATACAGTGCTCAGCCAATTGTCAAACTCCAGTTCGGTAATATCTTTTGTTCTGTTTTATGATGAAGAAATTTTGTTGAAGCTTTAATAATAATAATATAATTGAGACCGAAGAAGGTAATAAAAATGTCTCAAATAAAACAGCATTGAATTATGTACAGCAATCAAATGCTCTATATTGTCAGAAATAAAAGATTTATAACGTCAAATAAAAAAAAAGCAAATCAATTCGCTAGTTTGTAGAGTCAAACACATTATATAAACACGTAATTCTCGATAAGTCAGTCAGCGAGAAGTGTATATAATTTAGCTAAAATCGACGTGTCCTTTTAAGGTATTAATAAGCAAAAATGAGTTCGTTTCAATGTCAGGTAGACGATAGATTTATTTAAGAGTCTTGTTAGTATGCACACCCTTCGACGATGGGTTTGTACGGGAGGCAATCATTTCGTCGACAATCATTTCACCGACAATCATTTCACCGACAAATCTTCACCAACATTATTTCGA